CTGGGGAAACATGTCTTAATATCAATCCTCTTCTACTTTATAAAATAGAGATTTTTTTAAAAAAAAAATTATTTATTTATTCTATCTTGTTATACATGATATCAGAATGCAATTTATTTCATATTACACATATTACACATATCAAGTCACGGATTGTACACAAAGTATTTTCACACCATTCGTGTCTTCATACATGTACTTAGGGTGATGATGTGTAACTCATTCTACCATCATTCCTACACCATTGCCCCCTCCTTTCACCTTCCTCCTCTTTGCCCTGTCTAAAGTTCTTCCATTCCTCCCATGCTCCCCCGACCCCCACATCACCATTTGAGTCAGCATCCTCATATCAAAGAAAACATTCAGCCTTTGGCTTTTTGGGATTGGCTTACTTCACTTAGCATTATATTCCCCAAGTTCACCAATTTACCTGCCAATGCTATAATTTAATTTGGGAATATCATATGTCTCTAAAAATTTGTCAACGCCTTCAACATTTTCTATTTGATTGGATTACAAAGTTTCAAAATAATTTCTAATAATCTTCTGTATTTCTGTAGTTCATCATAATATTTCCTTTTTCATCTGATGTTAGTAATTTGAGTTTTCTATCTCCTTCTCTTCATTAGCATGGCTAATGGTTTGTCAATGTTATTTACTTTTATTTTTTTTTATTTTTATTTTTTTTATTGGTTGTTTAAAACATTACAGAGCTCAAGACATATCATCTTTCATACATTCAACTCAATTGGGTTTTGAACTCCCCAAATACATAATACAGACTCACTTCTGTTACATACTCACATTTTTACATAATGGCATATTAGTGACTGTTGTATTCTGCTACCTTTCCTATCCCCTGCTATCCCCCCTCCCCTCCCCTCCCCTCCCAACATCCCTCTCTACCTCCTCTGCTGTTGTTCAATTCTCTCCCCTTTTTTTCCCCCCACCCCCTTGCCCCTCATAACCTCTTATTATTTTGTGTATCACTGAAGGTCTCCTACCATTTCCATATGTTTTCCCTTCTCTCTTCCTTTCTCTCCCCCCATTCGTCTTAGTTTACTGTTAGTCTTTTCCTCATGCTCTTCCTTCCTGTTCTATTCTTAGTGGCTCTCTTTATATCAAAGAAGACATTTGACATTTGTTTTTTAGGGCTTGGCTAGCTTCACTTAGCATAATCTGCTCTAATGCCATCCATTTCCCTGCAAATTCTATGATTTTGTCATTTCTTAGTGCTGCATAATACTCCATTGTGTATAGCTGCCACATTTTTTTTATCCACTCATCTATTGAAGGGCATCTAGGTTGGTTCCACATGGCTAATGGTTTGTCAATGTTATTTACTTTTATTTTTTCAAAGAATCAACTTGCTTTGTCATTTTTTAAATTGTTTCTTTTGATTCAATTTCACTGATTTTATCTCTGCTTTTAATTATTTCCTGTCTTCTACTGCTTTTGGGGTTGATTTGTTCTTCTTTTTCTAGGGCTTTAAGAGTAATGTTAGGTCATCTATTTGTTGACTTTTTCTTCTTTTAAGGAATGAACTCCATGCAATGAACTTTCCTCTTAGAACTGCCTTCATAGTGTCCCAGAGATTTCAATATGTTGTATTGGTGTTCTCATTTACCTCTAAGAATTTTTTAATCGCATTCTTGATATCTTTTGTAATCCATAGCATATTATTCAATCTCCAGGTGTTGGAATAGCTTTTTTTAAATTTTATCATTGATTTCTAATTTCATTCCATTGTAGTCTGATAGAATGCAGGGTAGTATCTCTACTTGTTTGTATTTACTAAGATTTGCTTTGTGGCATGATATATGGTCTATTTTAGATAAGGATCCATGTTCTGCTGGGAAAAAATGTATTTGCTCGTTGATGATAATATATCTGTCAGTTAAGTCTTAATTACTGACTATATTATATAGTTCTATAGTTTATTTATTTAGCTTTTGTTTGGAAGATCTATCTAGTAGTGAAAGAGCTGTGTTAAAGTCACCCAGAATTATTGTGTTATGGTCTATTTGACTGTTGAACTTGAGAAGAGTTTGTTTGATGAACGTAAATACTCCATTGTTTGGGGCATATATATTTATAACTGTTATGTCTTGTTGATGCATGTTTCCTTTAAGCAGTATGAAATGTTCATCTTTATCCCTTTTGATTAACTTTGGCTTGAAGTCTACTTTATTTGATATGAGGATGGAAACCCCTGCTTGTTTACGTAGACCATGTGAATGGTATATTTTATCCCAACCTTTCACCTTCAGTCTGTGTGTGTCTTTCCCTATGAGATAAGTCTCTTGAAGGCTGCAGATTGTTGGGTCTTTTTTTAAAATTCAATCTACCAGCCTATGTCTTTTGATTGGTGAGTTTAGGTCATTAACATTTAGTATTATTATTGAGACATGAATTGTGTTACTGGTCATTTTTGTTTATTTTTGGTATTTAGCTTGACTTGGTTTCTTCTTTATTACTTTATTGTTGCTCTTCCCTTTGCAGATTTTTATTGTTGTTTTTCATTTCCTCCTCGTGGAATATTTGGCCAAGAGTGTTTTGAAGTGCAGGATTCCTTGCTGTAAATTCTTTTAGCTTTTGTTTATCATGGGAGGTTTTTATTTCATCATCAAATTTGAAGCTTAATTTTTTTAGATATAAGATTCTTGGTTGGCATCCATTATCTTTTAGAGCTGATATGTTGTTCCAGGTTCTCCTAGCTTTGAGAGTCTGGGTTGGAAAATCTGCTGAGATGCCAATTAGTCTTCCCTTATAGGTAATAATATGATTTTTCTCTCTGTGGCCTTCAAAATTCTATCCTTATTCTGTATGCTAGGAATTATAATGTGCCTTGGTGTAGATATGTTGTATTTTTATAAATTTGGTGTCCAGTAAGCCTCTTGTATTTGATTTTCCAGTTCATTCTTCATGTTTGAGAAATTTTTTAACATTATTTCATTGAAGAGATTGTGCATTTCTTTGGTTTGGATCTCTGAGCCTTCCTCTATCCCAGTAAACCTTAAATTTGGTCTTTTGATGGTATCCCATAATTTTTTACATTCTGTTCATGTTTTCTTGCTATCCTGTCTGTGAGGTCACCTTTATTTTCAAGATTGTATATTTTCATTGTCTGAGATCCTGTCTTTCAAGTGAACTAGTCTGTTGATGATGCTATCTATTGAGTTTTTTACTTGGCTTATTGTTTCTTTCATTTCAAGGATTTCTATTTTTTTTTTCAGTACTTCTATCTCTTTCTTGAAGTAATCTCTTGCAACCTGTATTTTCTCTTTTATCTCATTGTTGGTGTGATCAATGGTCACCTGTATTTGTTTTCTTACCTCTTTTTTTGGAGTGATCAATTTTTGCCTTTATTTGCTCACTTAGGTTGTTCTTTAATTCACTTAGGTTGTTCTTTAATGTCCAAGAATCCAAGTGTTTCCATGTAATACTCCCAATGACTAGTTGAAGTTCTCTCAGCATTTTAGTTATGCATATTCTGAACTCCTTCTCTGACATTTCACCTACTGCATTACATATAGATTCTATTATTGTAGTATCTTGGTTTGTTTGGGACACTTTCCTCCTTTGTTTTTCTATGATGTCTATGAGTCTTCCTCTCTTGCAGTGTAGATCCGAGGTATTGCAACTTCTGCCCTATTTATAGTGTTCCTATGGGTTACCAATACCTCACATTTAAGGGAGAGATCAATATTACAGCACTCAATGTACCCAACATGCAGTCATATGTCAGTTAGCTTCTATTTTTACACTTACAGTTTTGTCACTATAATTAGAAATGATGAGTTAGGTTACCTTGTACCATAGAGTCAATAGGTTTGCATAATGGTTTACAGTTTCTAATGGTAGAAGGGGAGACTTGGGGGTTGGCTGAGATATTTATAAGGTAGGATGTGAGAATATGAAGGTATTAGATTATATGACTAGTGAAAGGATAATCATAAGAAGTTTGTGTTAGTAGGAGAAACAAGAGATACGCAATCCCATGCAAGACTACCTGTTGCCTCAGCAACAGGATAACTGTTAGCACCCCTAGTAGGCAGCCAGGCCCACGGGGACCTTGGTGGTCTCTTATCAGGTCCTTATTGTTGTTCCTTGATAGAAGCAGTGGTGGCAGCCTCAAGCCTATGAGTACCCTGATGTTGGGCTGTGGAGCCACGTTTTGGTGAATAAGGAACCCCAGTGCAGGGTGACTCACTGAGGGGGTGCAGGATATCTCTTCACACGGGAAAGGGGTGGCGGGGCAGGCAGGTCAAAATGGAGATCTTAATAGAAGGGACTTCATGGGATGGTGGGTTCATATAAGACGTGTAACTTCCTCCAAAAAAAAAAAAATCAATGTATCCTCATCCTCTTTTTTCCATGTAACACTCCCAATGACTAGTTGAAGTTCTCTCACCAGTCTTTGCTCTTTGCCGCAGCATTTATATATTCTATCTAGAAGACTAATACATATTTCAGGCATCAGTTAGCACCTCTGGGCCATATGAGATATGCATGGTAGACAGATTATTAAGGCTGTCCCCATTATACCGCATACATACCTGGTGTGATGCCCTTTCCTTGGTTTTAGGTGGAACTTGTAATTTGATTTTTAGACAGAATATAGGGTGTCATGCATTTGATTATATTACACAAGATTGCAGTTCCCCCATTTTGTTGGAATCTTTCTATCCCTGACTGGCTTAGAAAAAGCAAGTTACAGTTTTGGAGAGTGCCAGTTGTTACCTGGGAAGAAATGGAAGCCATCATTACTCTAATCTATGAAGAATTGAGTCTGCCAACAGCCGTGTGAACTTGGCCCCAGATCACACCTTGATTGTAGCCTTGTGAGACTCTAAAGAGGACCTTGAACCTGACCTCAAGCTTGACTTGTAGAAGCTAGAAGATAACAAATAAGTGTTCTATTGTTTGTAAGCTGCTGAATTTTTAGTGACATCATTATGTAGTAATAGATGCTATCTATCTATACTCCACAACAGGCCTTGACCAAAGTACTTATCCCTTGCTTTGAGAGTTTCTGCTTGCTTTGTGTTTCTCCTCTGGCCTTGGACACGAGGGAGGAGATGAGTAAATCTTTCTTCATATTCTGAGAGCCTTGACAACACCTAGGGCCTTTGGTATTTAATACATGTTCCTTGAACACATTTATTTACTATGATACTTTTAAAATACTTGATTTCAAAGTGATTAGATTCTTGATTGGGTGCAAGAGGATAAAACTTTTGCAAGGAGATAAAACTGAAAGAGATCATAGTGGGGGGGGGGAATGACAACTCATGATGACATGCATCTAAAGCCAACTTTTCAATGGTGTCATCTTGATTAACAAGGTCCTTCATCTGTGCAGTTGCTAGGGGAAATTTTTAAAGGATCTAGTTTCTCTTATGGTCTACTTTCAAAAGCACTGCCTTTTCATTATGAATAATCAAACACCACTCCAAAAGAAAGGCAAATGTAAAATGACTAACTTTTAGCTTTTAAGGTCTCCTCTCCAAGTGAAAAGTAAAATATTTCTTTTATAAAACTGATGTTTAGCTCTTACTTGGATAATTTAATACTTTGAAAAATAACAGTGCTCTTGTTCCAACTTCTGGTTAACTAATCTGAGTAGTCTCTGGTTAAAAGCATTCAAATAATTAAAATGTTTTGAGGAGTTGACAAGACCAAGTATTTATTTTTGTTTTGATAAGTGTGTTCCCCCATAAAATTACAACACAAATTTCAGACAGGAACCTCATGAAGTTTAAAGCATATATATTTTTATTGTTGGGTAGTCAATAGACATTAATTGAAATGAATTAAGATCAAAGAGGTCAATGCATGTGCACAACAATCAAGCTAGGCTTGGGCCATAGTCCCAAATATCTCAAGTGACATTGAGAAAAGCTGTTGATGTTACCCTTCTCTTTATCTGAAGCCTAGGGAGAAAGGTTCTTCACCAGACTAGGAATGGTTGATGAGAAAACAATATCATTGCTACCATTTGGCATGGTACTGGAGATCCTGAAAAACATTTGGGAGAAAGAAAAGAAGTGAAAATTTAAAGGAAAAACAAAGTAAAAATAAAATAAGACAGTTTAGCAAGATGGCTAAATGTAGGCTCAAAAGGCAAAAAAAAAATATGTATGTATTTATATATATTTTACATAATATATATAAATATTTACATATATATTATACATATAAATATAAATATATAGTATATATATAGCAGTTTATAGAAGAGCAATAAAAAACTAGAAAAATGTAATGAAAATTAAACTACCATCAATAAGAGAAAGTACAAAAAATATTCAATAGGAATATATAATCCTCATATGGAGAAAATTTTGGAATTTGAAAAAAAGATAGAGAACATGTTTTGAATAAATGAAGACACAATTTATGCTCTTGGATGAAAATGCAAATTATTCCCTAGATTTACTCACCCAAATGCAATCTCAACAGAATCTTACTTTACTTTTTTTGACAAACTCAGCAAATATTATAAAGATTGTATAGAAAAATAAATGTCCCTAAATAATCAAAATGACATTAAAAACCACTGTTAAGAAAGAAGAATTTAGTCTTCTGATATTGAGGTATACCACAAAGTCATGGCAAAGATGTCAATGTTCTTGGATTGGATCTATGAATGTAAGGTCATCAGGGTCACATCCTGACCGGGTGTCATATTTGGTTTTGTTTGTTTATTTTGTGCATATGTGAACTGTGACACATTGGTTCCAAAATATGGAGAGAAAACCAAAGAGCCAAGAATAACCAAATGTTGCAGGAGAAAAATGATGTCAGAGAATGGCATACAAAATGTGAAAACTAATATGAAGCTAAAGTAATTAAGATAATGTGTCATTATTGCAGGATAGACAAACTGCTTAATGGAGCATAATATAGAACTCCCTGAGCTGACTCACAGATTTGTGGAAGACTAATGACGGAACTGGCATTACAGAACAGTGAAGAAGAGATAGATCTTGCAATAAACTGTGCTAGGAGATTCATTCATATGGATAAAAACAGCATTGAATTTTTATATCATACCATACTCAAAAATCAATTCCAGTTGCAAGGTAGACTTAAAAGTGAAAAGTAAAACCATAAAACTTTTAGAAGACAGTATAAAAAATGTGAAACCTTGGGATAAAGAAGAATCCTTAAAGTGAAAACACAAAACATAAAAGAAATTATTGTTATTTGATTGCATTAGGTTTAATGACTTCTCTTCATCAAAAATGACCAAAAAGCAAATGAAAAAATAAATTGTGTACTGGCAGATAAGATCAATAGCCATAATTGTTAATAGATCTATCCATTTATCTATCTATCCAATTGTCCATTGATCCATCCAACAAGAGAACTAAAAACAAAACAATCTGATAGAAAAAATATTAAAGGTAGACTTAGAGAAAATAGGAATAAACTGTACATATATTAAAAAATGCTCAATCTAATCCATAAACATCAAAATGTTATTTAAGAGCATAGCTTCCCACTAATAGTAGAATGGGTAGACCAATCATAGTTAGTTCACACAGTAAAATGTTATAGTAATTATGAATAAACTATAGCTATTCAGCACAAAAATTCATTGGCACAATGGAATTAGGAAGGACACATAGAATGATCTATTGTTTGAATTGGATATTATGTACATAGGAGTTTACTGTGCTATAATTAAACCTTATACATTATCAATACATTTTTGCATTTAATATATATTGCATCTAATTCAAAAACAAGGTCTGATTCAGTCATCTGCCATCTGCTACTGAACTGGACCCCAGAACTGCTCTGATGCTGAATACCCTTAAATCTCCATGCCCCTCCTGACAGAGAAAAAGGACTTTGGGTCATTTTTCCATAGAAATGGAATGTAGAAATTGACAGTGGGGAAATGTAACAGTGGTCCACTTTATGTTTAAATATAGCCCTTGCTGTTTTGCCACTAGGATTTATTTTTTAAATGGATATATATCTTTGTCTTCTTCTCTTCCTGCTCCTCCCTAATCTCTCTTCTCAGGGGAAACAGGATTACTTTTCTTCCCAATTTTAGGCAGATTCATTTGTCCCTGAGTACACACCCACCATAGGAATGAAGTAATACAGACTTTGAGGATGGTATCAGAAGGTCTCAGAAATGACTATCTCCCAAATTAGCAAGTGAATTATAACTCCAACAGAGGACACATGTAATATGTATCCTATGAATCTTTAAAAGCCCCCCATTCCTGCTGATGGGCAGAATCATTACCTCTGGGACCGGAGTACTCTGTATTTCTCCTTTTGTTTGCAAAGCAATAAAACTTATTTCTTGCTTTTTCTCAAAAAAAAAAAAAAAAAGTTCTGAGTAGTTTCAGGCATGGAGATGGAGGCTTGCTTGGATTCTGTCCTGTAGGACTGTGTCTATGGGCAAGTCAGGCCTACTTAGGAATGCTAAATGGGTTCTTTTGACTCAGGAGGGATATTTCAAATGTCCCTCACAGTTATAAATGGATGCCAAAATTGAGAGTATATGTTATGCCTTATAGAGTCTGAAGGAAGCTTGCTTCCTTAAGAGAAGTCAGGGAAACCATGGAGCCAAATCACATCTCCCAGAGGGGAGGGGGAAAAAAATGTCTTACTATATGCTATGGTTTGAATGCTCGAATCCAAAATTCATGTTGAAATTTAATCCCCAATGCAACAGCATGAGAAAGTGGGGCTTTTAGAAAATGATAAGGCTATGAAGGTGAAGTGAATGAGATTAATGATTGATAAAAGGGACAGAGGGGAACTAGTTTGGTCTTTTGTCCCTTCTGCCCTACCACTAGGTGAGGATACCACTCACTTCCCTGGAGGTATAGCACCAAGGTGCAAACTTAGAAGCAGAAAGCAGCCCTTGACAGACACCAATTCTGCCTGCACTTTAGACTTGAACTTCCCCACTTGCAGAACTCTGAAAATAAATTTCTGTTCTGAATAAATTAACAGTCTCAGGTATTTCATTGCAGACTGACAATGTTCAAATTGTACCAGAAACATTGGTTGCGAAAGAGGCTCATGATTATCCATCATAAGTCCTGCTCTGTCAACCGGCTTCATAAGGTGGTTAAGAAAATCAAATGAGGTAATGAATATAAAATGACCTGCTTCATGGTAAGTACAACAAATATTAGCTCGTATCGTTATCATTATCTTATTATAGAGTGAAATCACAAAATGATTTATTATTTTCTGTGCGCCACTCTTATGGGAATTTGCACATATATAGATCTACTAAAATGTGATCATTGAATTTAGGAGAATTAATTTTATCAGATTTATGATCCATGAGAAGCCGTGTGCATTGAAGTTTTTAATGTTTGTAGTATTCAGACAATTTGCTTAATTCAGAATGGCCATCAAAAGTCATAAATCTCCGCCCCCCCCAGGAGGGATATTGTGGAAAACAATCATCACTGTTGTTTCCCCTGCATAAGCTGATTGCTGAATGTCTGTTCTTAAATACAGTCATGGCTTCTTTGAACCATTTTCCCCTAGCTCACGTCCTTATTTACTCATTTATCTACTTTTATAGGGGGAGAGACTAAGGGTTACCTGGGCAGTTAAGAATTTGGAATTATTCCCCTAAGTTTCATCTCCTGTTTTGCTAAATTAGGTTTGACTCTAACACAAACAAGCAAACAAAAACAAGCCAGGAATTAGGAGCAAAGGCCATGCCCTCCCCCCCCCCCGTGCAAATCCTGAGGCTGAGTGTATGACTGAGTAGTCACAGACGTAAAGAGAAATGTTAAATATTAGAAATTTTAAAAATCAATCAAAGTGGAAATTTGGGGCATTCAATTGTATCTTTCTGTACTCTATGGGATTACTTTTGGATCATTTGAGGAGGCAATGAAAACATCTGAAATGATTTCTGTAATAAGTAATTTCAAAAGAGCATATCAGGCAGGCTTTTAAAATGTAATAACAGGAGGGTGGTATTTTATGTAGCCTCCTCCCACATCTGACTGCTTAATATCTCTACAGGGAACACAATGCATGAGATCCAAATATCAGAAGCTAACTATGGCTGAAATGTGCATTTGTGCATTTTACTTTCTTGCCTTCTCCCTTTTACCCTTACTTTTACACCATATCTTTCTTGATTGTGTTCATTTTGAATTTTTATAGCATTGTAGATACAATGAAAAAAAAGACAAAACCATATGTCTGTTGATGACCTGATTCCAAGATGAGAAAGAAAAATGATATTTTTATATGTTTTATGTATTTCCTATGACCAAAAATGTGATTTTTCCAGCTGTTATTGTCTTGCAGAAGTACCTATTCCCTGCAGAGCAAATATGTTTCCATTCTGTTCCCATTGGGATGATTTGCTGATTCTGATCAACCCCAGGTCCAGAGTCTGGCAGAAAATTATTCAGATGATTGCCCTGATTCCAGACTGTACCTAGCCTAGGAATACTCAACTCTAAGCCATCTCTCTGCAAATCGCTCTTACCTACGATTTATTCACCAGTTCAGTGGTCCCTGATCCACAATTCTTTGTCGTTGCATAATCGAAACATATTTTTCTCCATTACTGTCATAGAATGTCAATGCTGTAATCTGTTTGTAATTAGGAACACTTTGAAAATCCATCTTTTCTTTATCCCCTTCCACCATGAACTTTATAGAAGAATAAACATGCCAGTATTATTCTTGCCCACAACAGAAATCAATCTGTATCAAATTCCCTGGTGTAAAGAGTATTAGCTTGTCACCAAAGACAAAAGTTATATTTACTTAAAGATGTGTCACTTCACACAAAGCTTCTCAGACCTGTAGTAAATAAAAAGGCATGCCCATTTAAGCATTTTAAAAAAGAATCATTTTGAGAAATATAATCCACTTGCACAATGAAAAGTCATGGAATGAATGTACCATATGCCAATAGAGATGTGCCTCAAAGAGTAATGAGTTCCATTTTAGTGAGCTTGCTTTAAAGTTCATTGACATTTTAGCCAACATATTTACTGCCTATGAGCAAATGATTCTGAGTAATGGTGAAAAAGAAAGATGCACCAGAAAGATACTGAATGGAATTGAGTAGATTCTTTTTTTTTTTTTTTTCCAATTGTAGCAAACAGCCTGGCTAATTTTATTTCTTCTTTCTATTTACTTTGGAGTAATTAACTTAGGAATTTTCATAAATAAAGGTTGTTTTAATAATTAATCCTGACCTACCAATTTTGAGGCAAGTCAGCTCATTTATTAAAGAAAAAAAAAAGTCCCTTTATGTTTCAATGCAGATTAGATAAGCTCTTAGGCAGGTCATCTCTTTGAAAATGCCTATTAAAAAATAACAGGATACCAATGGTGTGACCCTACATTGGGTACAACCAGAGAAGTAAAAAAATTATGCTCCATTTGTGTACAATGAATCAAAGAGCATTCTCCTATCACGTATAACTGATTAGAATAAATAAATACAAAAGCAAAATAACAGGATACCACCAATGCCATTTCTCTGCTGTCATTTTCATCAATGTCTCTTAGGCTGGACTTGTGCATACCATGAGAGTGGGATGAATGTGTGCCAGGGGGAATAAAGTGTTAAACTTCCAACATGAACTGTTTTCTCTATTAAAAGTTTCCATAGTCTGCTAAACTGGATTTTTGTTTTTAAATCACAGCTTGAAACCACCCGAACAGGAGGAGCCAGTCCAGGGTCACAAAGACCCAAATGCAAAGTTAAACCTTCAGTTTGGTCCAGGGGCATGTGTGCTGCCCGCCCCAAGCTCCGTGAAATGTAATTAACTCTTCTCTTCAGGAACAAAACAAAGCAATAACAAACAAAAAACAAAACTAATTAGAAAACTGAAAGATCTCCTAACCACAGGCTTCAAGAAACTAATTATCGAAAGAAAAGAAAACATTATATGAATGTTAACAATATCCATTTAAACAAGGTATTTTTTAAAGTGACATCCACAGCGATTATACCAATTAAACTGATGTCAGATTTCCTTCTGAATTAGATTAACTGAAATTTTGCTTTTCTTTGCATATTTCATAAGCCAATTTTCATAAGCCTGGTCTAAGAAGAGACTGGAATATTGTCCTTTGTTAAGGCTCGTGATTTGCTTTCTGTATTACTGAAATTCATAAGAGACGTTAAAAAATATTTGAAAAAATAGGTATCCAACGTTTTGTATACTTTTTGTACCATGTGTTTATTAGGCAAAAACCATGTTCGTTCATCCAATTTTTATTGAGGGACCACAATTCTCCACATAATGAGCTGGGAACAGGATTTTACCATGATCAAGGACAATGGCAATGCCCCTGCTTTTACAGAGCTTAAATTCTGGTGGTGGGAGACACACACCCAATGAGAAGATTACATAAAAGTATCGCTTATGATTTCATATTTGGGAAAGGAAATTACAGGGTGCTTTAGTAAGGAATAAAAAGCTGAGTCCTACCTAGATCGAATGCTTACAAAAGGCATTTTCAAATTATGCAAGTTAAGTTGAGCCTTGAAGGATGAGAAGTTGGTTGGTGGAGAATTATCCAGATGAAGGAAACATCAAGTCAAATGGACCTGAGGCAAGAAGAGCTTGTGATGCTCTGGACATCAGCAGATGGTGGCCAGAGAATGGAGAGTAAGGGGTGGATGGTACGAGTGGAGTGATAAAAGCTAGCTCATGCTCTAATCATTCAGGGGATTGCAAGCAGCCTAAAGTCTGGTGAACTTATTTTATTTAAGGGGAACTGAGAAGGTATTGAGGTCTTTTTGGGAAAATGATATGAACTGATTTAAACTTGGCACAATTCCTCTGGCTACTTTGCAGAGAGTATAGAGAGGGTCAACAATGGAAGCGAGAGCTCAGAGAGGAGATGTTATAGTGGTCCAAGTGGGGAGGTCTGTGTTAGACTTGGGGGTGGGAGCAATGAAGAAGGAGAGAAATGGATGGAAGGAAGGTACCATTAAAGGATTGACAGGACTAACCCAGGCTTGAATGTCGACAGTGAGAATAAGGAAGGAGACAGAGGTAGTCCCTGGGTTTCAGGTGGGTGTCTCCCTCACTTATAGAGGAGAAAGGCAAACTCTTCCCTTCCCGGGATACACATGACGTGACATTTGAGTTAGGTAAATGTCACTGCCAGTAAATGTAGAGAGAACTATCAACTGATACCATTAGCAGGGCATTGGATCTAGATCTCTTTTCTGCTCTTTTGCTACTTAGAAAATTATTTAATATCTTTGCTCTAAATTTATTTTTCTGTGACAGTGCAATAATGATATCAAAATGACCAATCTATTCTGAAATTACTATAATAGTGCATGTGAAAACATACCATGGTGTACTAAGAAAAAAACAAGGTTTATTAAATGTTTCAAATATACTTCAAATATGAACATTTCATTATATCAACACATAGAGCAAGTTTTGTAGCAACAACCAACAAGGAATCCTCCTCCTTTTTCTATCAGAAGATAGTCTCTTAATGCCTTGCATTAAGAAATAAAGTATTCATTAAAGCAAAAATGATAGTAATTAGTGTCATTTTTTAGCATGGTGAAAATATTTTGATAGATTAACCATACAAAGAAAATCTTCTATATCAGAATGCGTAAAGGTATATTTCTTTTCCATTTAATTTATTAAACTTTTAGACCTCACCTGACTTCCAATCCTTTGACACTTTTCTACCACAAGGTAAAAATAAAAATTAAAATGGAAATCACTCTTCTGAAAGCCACAAATTGTGATCATCTGAATGAAAAGCTTGTGTGTGGGGTGTGTGTGTGTGTGTGTGTGTGTGTGTGTGTGTGTGTGTGTGTGTATGGTTGATCCAGGCACAGCAGAGTGGATAATTTCAAACAGAAGAGGTCTTCAAGGGAACATAATTCTATGTTGGGCCAAGTCTTTATGAATATAACCCCATTAACTAATTATACTGTGTGCTGAAACACATTACTAAAACCTATTTTGTAAAATTTGTATTGAAGCATAATTCCCACATACTGCAGAGAGTTAATTATTAAATATATTATCCATTGCAGAAAAAACAGTGTGGATAATGATGTTTTTGTAGGCTCCAAGTGTGAATGACAGAAAACAAATGTCATCATCTGCCTATTTCACACTGATAAAAATCATTCTATTAGATGTACCTCTGTGGCATACCTTTTCTAAAAATATGGAAATTAATACAGTCTCATGATTTGGAGTGAAAAAAAGTCTAGGAAACTATTACCAATAATTCCTGTTTTTACTATATTACTAGTGTTAAAATTTTAAAGTTTTTTTCAGATATTTTATATGAATTGTCCTTATATTTTTAATTGATGAAATGACACCATGAATATATTTTTCTGTCCTACTTGCCTACTTCATATTGTATTGAGAAAATTTCCCTATGAAGTATTATAGATTTAATCATCATTTATTTTGTACATAAGTACCTCAGAAGTTCTGTTGGAATTAAATGAATTGATCTAGTTTTATGAATTAATGTGCTCATAAAGTATATTATTCTTATCCAGGCAGATAACATTTTTCTTATCTATTTAAGTATTTTCTACTCTCAATAACATTCTGTTATTGGTATTTCATGGGTTATGTACATCTCTTGTTCAGTTCATTGATAAGAGTTTTTCCTTGCACTGAAGAACTCATATTCCCTGATTTCTGACTGGTTATTGCAAGTAGAAAGGAAAAGCTATTGGTTTCTCTGTTTATTTTATCTGTAGCCAACTAATTAAATTTACTTATTAGTTGACTTTCTTGGATTTTCTAGGAAGAAACATGTATTACAAATAATGAATCATTTCACAATTTTCAGCAGTTTTTATCATATATGCTTTTCTTGACTTATTGAATTTGTGACAGTTCCTAAAATAATGTTCAACTATAGCTATGATAGCATGCATTCTTAGTATTGGGATTAATAATAATCCTGTTAATGTCTTATTGTTGAATATGATATTGCCTCCTATCTCTGTACAGCTATTCTTTATCTTATTAAATTTCTCTCTATACTTAATTTATAAGAATTCATACATTTAAATGAAGATGTAGGATTTTGTCAAAAGATTAACATTTCTCTAGTTTCTCATATCTTACCTGTGATCTATGAAAACAAGAAGAATAAAAACAATCAAAATATATTGAAAATTACTACTTTCCAAGTACTGAGCTAACCATTACATAAAATATCTCATTTAATCTTTACCACTTTATTAGGTAAGTACTATGATTATCCCCAACTTAAAGCAATTGTACTCACAGTTCTAATAATGAAGTGTCCTCATGTAATGGGAATAAGCTTTACTTATTTGTGTAAATTATTTTTATACCCGAACTATAATATTTTCTAGGATTTTTACACCTGTAGCAATATACAACAGTTGCTAAATAACCCCATTTAATTGTATTCACAAACATATGAGGGAAATGTAACAATTCCAAACTTCCAGGTAAGGGAATGGGGACAAAAGAGGGCATAGAGAGATAAAGAGAATGTTAAAATGTTGAACCGTTAGTAAGTCACAAAGCTGATATTTGAACCCAGGCAGTAGGGAAAAAAAAGAAAAAAAAACTCAGGAAGAAAAATACACCTCCCTCCCCCGCAAAAAATAAAGCAAACCAGTATGGAATGCAGAGTTCCTCTTTCTTTATGGATTTATGGGAATCTTTTACATGTTTTGGGTATATATTGTTTACATATTTTGTCTTTTCACTGTCTCAGAGATATTCTTTAGATAACAAAAAAATTTAAGTTTTCATACACTTAGGTAGTTTTGGGTCATTTCTGAAATATTTTTTTTTCTTATTTTATAGCCATGGAAATGTTCACACATGTTTTCTTCTAAAAAAAACAAAACAAAACAAAAAAAACCCTCTCACATTAGATGTGTAATCCATGTAGAACTCTGTTAGTGTGAATGGTATGAAGTAATGATAAAAAATATTTCCCCCCTGGAGATAGCCAAGGGATCCAGCTTCAGTTACTAAACTGAGCATTATTTCTCTAATGCCCTGGAGTAGTCCCATTGCTATAAATTAAGAGACTGTACATTGCACATCAATCACTGGATTCTCTTTTCTCTTGGTATCCTTTCACTAAAATAAACTGTATTAATTACTCCAACTTTATGAAAAGGTATAATTTCAGCTCATGTGGTTCCTTTTGCTCTGTTTTTCTTCTATGAAAATTGCTTTGTCTATTCTTAACTAATGTGGTTTGTTTAAGCGTCCCCCAAAGACTCTTGTGTTAAAGGCTTGGTTGCCTGCCTGTGGGTGCTTTGGGTGGTATAACCTTTACATGGCGGGAACTAGTTAGAGAAAGTTACCTCAGGGAGAATAAGCCTTCCAAGTGGGTTTAGGGACCTGGGACCCTTCTTGTCTCTCTCTCTGCCTCTCAGCTGCCAACAGCACAGGCAGTTTCCTCTGCCATGTTCTCCCACTATGATGTACTGCCTCACCACAGGCCCCCAAACAATATAGACAACAAATCATACACTAAAACATATGAAACTGTGAGCTCAAATTAACCTTTTCTCCTTAAAAGTTGATTTATCTCAGATATCTGTTACAGTAAGAGAAACATGATGGACACATTAACTCTTTGCATTTCCATATATGTTTTAGGATCAGCTTATCAAAATTTTCACACACCTACACTTTCCTGCATTTGCTTGAGATTAAATTGACTTCATAGCTCAATTTGAGGAAAACTGATACTTGTACAATATTGAGTCTTTCAATTTATGATGAAGGTTATTTCCTTTTTTTTTTTTTTTTTTTAGGCCTTAAAAATCTCTCTCAATTTGGTTTTCTCATTTTCAGGAGAGGAGTCTTGCATACTTTTCATATTAAATTGATCTTGCATCAGTGATCTTGTTAAATATTCTTTTAAATGCTAAAGGCTTATTTATAGGTTATTAAGGTTTTCTTTGGATATAATTATATCACTTGAAAATATAGTGGGTTTTTTTTTTTTATTCTTATACCTGCTGTTTCTTTT